CGTGCGGTCATATTGACATCAGAGTTTCACATGCTGTAAGCTAGCTCTGAGTTACGGCATAAATGCTTGAACTGTTGTTTAGGAGAGATTAGGAAACTGAGGAAAGTAACAAACACCATCATGTAACTGGTAATTTAGACTTGCTGGGATACTAAAGCATACTGTCCTAAATTAGACACCCAAGCATAGTCTTAAACACCTCCGCGTGTGCTCATATTGTCATAAAACAAAGAAGTCCAAACCAGCCCATCATGCTAAACAAAGTAACTGGAAAAAGGCTTGAAAAAGAACATATCAAAATGAACTGCTCCAGCAGCTAATGTTGTTAACTCTGAAGGTCCACAATTTAACATGTCATTGCTCTCTTCAAGCTCTTTGGCATATTGATAAACCTCCCCTTGGAATTTCAGCATTTCTCAAAATCAGACATGATGTGTGGTGTAATGTAATTTTTACACTAATAACGTGTCTGCTCTGACAGCAAGGGAGAAGCAGCAGTTATAAACGGCATATGTATAGAAAGAAAATGGGCACAAGATCATGTTATTACAGATAAAGAACACTTCAGCAAAGTGCATGGAAATACAATTTACAAGTCACTCATCCTGCCATGCTCCTCTCCCCTAGTTCCTTCCTCTTCAACTTTAAACCTTAAAAGTTCTGTTAGATCTTGTTATGTATACACACACACACAAGTACTCTGAAGTCTAGGCTAATAGTGAAATAGCCAGTCAAAAAACCAAAAAATGTCTACATGATGAAAACTTCTTTTCCTAACTACATTTTCATCAAATCAGCTACTTTTCCATGCCATGCACACTTAAATTCTGAATTGCAGAACCCTTTATAAAAGGAGACAGGTTTATGAAATTATTTTAGCATTCCTCTAATAATAGAAAGGTGTTGTATATTTGCAATTGTCTTTAGCTTTTTAGACCATGTCATAGGAATTTACAGACACAGCTCTCATGTATCAGAGTGGAAAACCTATTGATCTCAATAAAAATAAGTTAAATTGCTTTACAAACCAAACTTTCTAAAGATGATTTACTAATAACAAAGAATCTTATTTTTACCTGCCTTTTACAGTATTTATGTTAAATTACTCGTCACTCTCTATTTTGGGTATTTGGTGTCAAATTAGACTTTTTTTTAAAAAAATAATTTTTCCTGCTCTTATGCCAAATTTGACTGTCGGTTTTTATTGGAACATCAAAAGCAGGCTTTTAATTCTCACAGTTTTGATGCTTAATGAAAAGTGAAAGTTAAACACAGCATGGCAGCATTAAAAATGCATGGTAAATCCATAGCACCCTGACATCTTAGCCCTGCAGAGGATGTGAAGAAAAGCCATTGTAAACAAAAGATAATACTACTAAATACAAAGCAAATTAATTAGATGGTCTGACAGACACTTAAACAAAGAAAAAATGGAGGGAGAACATATGTACAACTATCTTCCAGCAAAGATATCACAGTGGTCTGTCAGCAGTACAGCCATATACTGAATTTAAGTTTCTGTCTCCATTTTCAGACTTTGCTCCTGAATATCTGGAAATCAATACATTGATAAGGTAGCATAGTCAACATCTTGGACAAAGAAGGGGCTTTGCATCCTCAGCTGTACCATGTAACCCAGATGGCAAGGACTTTTGGCTCTGAACCACCTATTTTACAAACTACAGACTGCAAAGGATTGTTATCAGTTAAACTGTCTACACTAAACCCAAATTTAACCAAACTGAGAATTTCCTTTTTTGCAGAAAGTGTCCAAGTGCCCCTGCTTCGTTTCAACAGGGACAAATAAGTGGCCCTTTTAAAGCTCCTGGCACTTGCTGTTTCTGAAAACTCTTATCTCTGATAGGGGCGAACTGAGCTGCAAGCTCATCAGTAGTACCTGAGATGACCTGTTTTTCTCCCTGCAGTCTTCTAGGAGTTAAGCTTCTTATCCAGAAAGTAAAAGCAATAATAAAATATTTTACTATTTTAATGCATTTTTTGTATTTTTCTTTTACACATATTTAGCTGATTTTTTCTTTTAGATGCTTTCACCTGATCCAGAGTTGTATTTTATCAACTCATTTTCACATTACTGTGAGAAGCTTCTACACAAGCTCCATGGCAATCTAAAAAGAAACATATAGCTGCAGTAAGCGTAACACTCTAGCTGAACTCTAGCATTTGGGTCATGAGGTAAGAGCAGAAGAAAATTATCAGAAACCTTGCTGCTACCCCTGGTCAAGCTTCTAAGGACAGCAGAATTCCTGAAAGCTGAGTATTTCAGTGTAGATTCCTACATAATTTACACACCACGTACTATGGCAAGTTACCCAGGTTAAAGAAAGTATGCCAGAAGAGGTAGCAGTCAGTGTGCCTGAGATCAGGCACCTCGCCAGAATCATCTCTTTCCCCACTCCTTTAATCCTGGAATATTGGGGTGACAGTTGCCACTCAAGCCCATGAGCTGCTTATTTGCTGTTGTCTTGAAAAGGGAAAAAACTGTGACTCCTTTTAAAACCAAACACTTAGACTGAATTTTCCTCTTCTAAAGCTAATACTAATTTTAGCACAATTCAGGCAATAAGATAAGATTTAGACTTTTTAATGTAACAGGCCAATGGATGGTAAGAGAGAAACTCAAAATAAACTAAACCAACCCTTCTTTGCTTTATCACAGGGCTATCATCTATTTTGAAGAGGTCAATGCAGGAGACTGCCAAATGTGCACTGGCACTTAAAGGATGCAAGTAGAAGAGCAATGCTTCAAACTGATTAAAAGACATCTGTGTTCAATAAGACTGCGTTTGGAACTCTTCACTGTAATTTAGATAAAAAGCTGATGTACCTTCATATAAATGTTCATAAAATTATTTTGTATTGTTTACGGTGCATTTAACTTAATTCAAATTAACATACTGAAAGTGACTAAGTGATTTTTTTAACAAGAGGTTAGAGTGCTCTGAGGCATCCCTACATAAGTACGTGAATTAGAATTCAGTAGTTTTTCATCTTGCAAAATAAGCACAAATGAAAACCCATAAGAATGTGTGTCTACTTACAGAATCACTTAACCACTGAGTATATAAAAATCAGTGTGTTTAATATGGACTTAGATGCTCTTCTGATTAGAATCTATTTTGGGGGGAATTAGATAGAGATATGAAGGTTCCCAGAAGAAACTTCGGCTAAAGTGAGATGTTTCTGGAGTGAATTATTGCATCAGTTCCACTAACAGACACAGAAAGTTACTGAAATTCAGTTTATGATACTTTCACAGCTTGCCCTGAGGGGTCTTTTTAAGAAGACCTACTGCTTATTTGTTATGTAAGACATAGTACAAAAAGCTTATGGAATGCAACCTGCCCATCTTGCATCCTATGGAAACTGAGGAATAGGAGCATTATAGTATTAACTTTCTTAAGTGTCTCCTGAATATTTGTTTAAAGTCATCAGCAAGAGTTGCACAAATCAATAGGAAAGTTGCCTTAAAAAGGATGGGCAATCACCCTACTTACTTTTACTCTTGTGCATCCATATGCATAATCAAACACATCTTAATAAATATTACTTTTTCCTTACTCTTAAAATTATATTTTGGTATGATTAATGTGTTTCTATTTAGTATCCTCTTCAGATTAAGTTACCTGTTGCCTTTTAGGTCTGAGTCTTCTCCAGGGAAGCGGCTCAATTTAGAAGTATCTATTAAAACTTTATATGGCAATGATTGAAACAAGAGGTCCTTCCTTGAAAGCAAAGTTAATCTTCATACCAACAGCCCCTTTTTCCAGATCAGACGCAGTACTACCCCTTCCCCTCCTGCCCTAGGTCTTGCAGCACACAGCTGCCTCTTGCACCCTGCGCCTTCTCTGTGCTTCAGCTGTTTCCTCAGTTCCCACTTCCCAGGGTGACAGAGAAGCTCAGCAGGGCCCTGGACCAGACAGACAGCAGAAGAGACTGAGATTTCACTAAAGCTAAGGTGATTTCTGCAGTAAGAGTTACTATAGTTCCATGGTGTTCAGACAAAAATGTTGTGGGTATTGTGATGATACTGGATACAGAGGCTCAGTAATTCTGCAATGTATAATTCTAGTGAATTAATTGTAAATATTTGCAAAATTTGGCTGCAAGTATCACAACGCAGGTCTGTGTTTATGTAAATAAGGAAGGGGCAATAAGAAATGATCTTTCATTAAGATTAACCTATAAAACAGTACAGCTTATAAAGGCTTCTGTTAAAAGCAAGAAAAAAAAGTTAAGCCAATATTTTACTGTAGAACCACTTGAAAAACGTGCTCTCTCATTTTCATGAACGTGATTTTGCAAAAAGTGATTTTCTGAAAGAACAAAGTACAGTTCTTGTGGCGTTTCTCCAACAGTGTCAACTTGAAAATGTTTTTCTCATTTTTGAACCCCTCAAACTCAACTATGAAATCTGAAGCACCAGTTGAACACTAGTTAATACATACACTGTCATAAGATTTAGAAACTATTCCAACAATTCATTACATTTTAACTAAACGGGCCCTGATAGTCAACAGAAGTCAAAAATAGTCATATCACATTTCTGGCACTAATGGAGCATGTCCACAGTTCAGAGCAACACTGTGCAAAGATGCCCAAGCTCAGTCTGTTTGGATTGCAGAGTGCCTACAGCACCACAAACGTACTTGAGCTGTGCTGTACTGGGAATAATGCGCCATGCCAATTATTCAGGACAGAATGGCACAGTAACACAGCTAGCTTGCTTCCAACATCTCAGCTAGTTCCTTTGAATATCTCTGCACAGTCCTGAATTGTGCAGGATACCCAAATTTCAAATTTAAACAGCTGTATTACTGAATGCATAAGAGGAACCACTCTCATGTAAAAGGTACCACTTTTACACAGTACCTTTTCAGAGCAGAATCATGCCCAGTTCAAGCTGTGGGTATGAAGTATTTGTGACATGAACAGGCAGATGTTACTGAAAGCTCAAAATGCAAAATAAAGCAACGCATTACCATTTTTGTCCATGGAATGAGGCTCAGATTGCTTCTTTCCAATATCAGCAAAGGATCTCACAATTGGGATCCTGTTGCTCAGCTTCTTCTGGTTCTGATGGTGATGCTGTTTCAGTAATGCTTCATGTACTCTGTGACGAACATCCTCACTGAGCTGCCCAGAACCCACCTGCTGGTCCAGAATCATATCTGAAAATATATACATAAACATAATGGAAGAGGGGAAAGAGGAAACATTTTAATTTTTAAATTGCAATAGTAAGAATTAATACTCCAAAGTATTACAAATGAAAGGTATCAGTTCCTTTAATGCAAGAGAATTAAATGGTAAGTTTTATCTAGAAGTGTTTCACTCTCAGGAAAAAAAAAGTCAAAAAGGATGTTATTAATGTAAAAAAGTTAATCCCTCAAAAGACAGGCAATTCCCAAATTAAGATCACCTATGTAACTTTGAAGTCAGTCCCTAAGCACTTCCATACATAATGCATTTAAACCCAGGATTATGATGTGTATAAGGTGACTTTTTTCTTCTAAATAACCCCTACCCTATTTGCTACAAAGGACTGGCATGTTGTAAGGAAACAACTTTTTTACTCCCTTTATACTTACTACAGGAGAACACAGTCTAGCTCTTTATTTCTTACAACTACAATTACAATACTTTCAGTACAATATAAAGAAATTTCAGATATGACAATACAGGATAATTTGCTGCATTATTTGCAAATACTTAACAGGATCTCATTCTACTGCTGGATGTACATGTTCCTGCAAGTGAATCATTACATGGAGGTGTCAGTGAAACTGATCCCCCTGCTAAGAAATTACAACCATTTTTGCAGTCCACTGGCAGAAAATATTCTTACATATTCATATTCAAAACTATTCATAAATACATGCATTATGTACTTCAAATGGGAAAGAATTGTGAAGAATTTTGTGGAATTTTTTTTGTTATTATTTTGGGAAATCCTGCTAGCAGCAGTAATAAAGCTTAACAGAAAAAGCAAGCAAAAAAAGAAATTCTGTATCAAAGCAAGTAAAACTGCATTCAAGTACACAATGTCCTTGCATATCCATTGGAAGAAACTGTACTGCACAAAAATAGTGATATAATAAGCTGAGTCAAAAACTCCCTGTACTGAAAATTCAGACAGCTCATGATTCTGTGTTGGAGTCAGATTCGTATCTACCAGTAAACTCAGTGGAAAAGTAAGCAGAACGGAAAAAATAAAAACCAGACGCGTCATCAGCAGAGACACAATTTGTCAGGTCTTTGATAATTGCCAAAAGCAAGAGAAAAGATGAAGATAATAAAAGGCATTAAATAATTATGCTGGTTAAAAGCAGAGTTTAATTACTAACAGTCAACTATGCACTGTATATACCTTTAAAAAACACAACAGTTTTTCTGAACTTCTCCATATCCACGTAACAAGCCAATGTATCATATACATAGCTGCTTTAAGAGCTGAACAAATTACCTGCATGTTTCACGTACTATATAAAGGCTACCAACAAATCTCCATCTCTATGATGACACACACGCAAAAAGACAGGGCTAGGTCCACAGACAAATGCAGCCACCAGCAGATGTGAACAAGAGATGTATCTCCATCTCACAATGAAGAGTAATGTGGAGGTTTTCAACACTGCCTTTGACCCTCTCCAGCAATCACATTCTGTGCAGTGTTAAGAACGGTGTTGACCGAAAGGCTCATACTGAAGAGTAATACTGCCTGGTGGCGTGCCTAAATTAATAAAACCTGTCTTGGGGGTTCACCTGACTCTGAAGGCAACTTTTCTCTTCAGGGTTAACTCAAACACGACCAGGTCAGTTATCTCTGCACTCCCAGTCCAAACACAGTTTGCCTATTACTCTAGACTCTAATAGAAGAGATAGAGAGGCACAGCATCAAGATGAGTGCCAAAGGCAAAACAAAGTAACACAAGTTCAAGAGAAAGTCTTCAGAAGAATTTTTTCAGAAGAAGTCAAGAATTTGCAACACATGAGAAAAAGAAAGGAAAGCTCCATCTCCAAGAAAAATATTCATTTTCCTGCTCAACTCTACTGCTTTTTGAGGAACTGCCTCTGCTCTGAGGATAAGACTATCTTCACTTTAGATAGCCTGAGTACATGAATTTGCATGTCACAGTTCCCAAAACAGGCCAGTACTTTCTGTAACACGACAGGGGATCTTCAGAGGAAAAAAATAACAAACACATAACTTAGGGTATCTGTGCTAAAGCACAACTGGAATTATCCTCTTCCCCCTCCTTTTTAATTTTGCTGACCAAAAGACAAATTGTAGAAGATGCAAAACCAAAGATTACCTTCTTTGAGTTGCTCTAAGACAGAAATCAAAAGGAAGAACTGAAAAAAAGGACTCCTGTAGAACAGGCAAATTTAGGGTTGCGGTCATCACCTTGCTTACAAGATCAGTGGAAGTGCACTTGTATGGTGTCATTCCTGGAATTATAGTATTTTCCATGTTAAATATTAACACATATTAACTGCTGAGGATGACATCAATATTTAAGACGATCTACGTGAGGAGAGAAAATGCCAGGAAAAAGAAAATCACATCCCTTCCTTGCCTAGATGCTCTGCTAGCCTCATTAACAGTCACACAAGTCATGCAGTCAGTGCCAGCGTGTTGACGTAACAATTTTTATTTCCTGCCCAACTGAGAAGAGACTTACCTTGAGTTTTCTTTTTTACAACCACTTCCCCTTTACTTCAGCACCTCTGCCACATGTAAAAAGGTAGGATGCATTCAGATTTGGA